TATAGTGGGTAGGGGGCAGTATAGTGGGTAGGGGGGCTGTGAGGTGAGTAGGGGGGCTCTATAGTGGGTAGGGGGGCTTTGAGGTGGGTAGGGGGGCAGTGTAGTGGGTAGGGGGGCTGTGAGGTGGGTAGAGGGCCTGTGAGGAGAGTAGGGGCGCTGTGAGGTGGGTAGGGGGGCAATATAGTGGGTAGGGGGCTGTAAAAAAGTAAATACCTTTCGGTGTCCTCTTGGTCCGGTGGGCAGCTTCCCAGTAACGTGCATGGGGGCGGAGCTTTGAGCGGGAGGCGGAGCTTCCGTTTGGGGGCGGAGTATGCGGCTATAATGATTTCAGACTGTGCAGGGAGACTGACAGGTCTCCCTGCAGCCGCTGGCAGCCACACCAGCCCCCAGCTCCTCCCTCCTTCCTCCCCTCGGACTGATAGTCTGGCACAGTCCGAGGGGAGGCTTTATCAAAATGATCATTAAGGCTGTCAGCCCAGCCCCAGCTGGGCCAGTCCGGCCCTGCCACCCACTCTCTCAAACGGGGGATTTAGCTGTCCAAATCCCTACCGCCCACCTGGAATCCTGAAACGCCCACTAGTGGGCGGTAGGGACCAGGTTGACGACCCATGCTTTAGACGCACCACTAGATGTCAGTAAAGCATATTTAGTGTAATGCTTTGGGGGCACCTCTAGGGGGAGTGTGTAGGAAGACCTGTGCTTCTGGCAGTGACATCACAGGCCAGCCTACTTACACTGAATAAAAACCAGATGTTAGGAGAAGCAAGCTCTCTGTTTGCCTGTACCTGACTGATCATGTAGAACCAGCTCTGACTTAGCCCCAGCCCTTTGGCTGGGGCCTTGTAAGTAATATGAATCCATTGTAACAGTTAGCAATTGTAATAGCCTTTTGTATAATATATAGCAACCAATAGTGTTTTGTGTAGTATTGTATTGTATAATTATTAAAATTGACATTCTGCTAGCATCTGTTTATTTATTATAGTTATTGTGTATTTTGTGTATTTTCTATCCACATATTCGACCATAATACCATGAATTATAAAAATATTAATGTTGTTCCGTATTGCTTAATTATTATGTATTAAGAGATTAATATTCATATTTAGGTCACGACCAC